CTGACGTCGGGGAGGGGGACTGTTCTACCTTCTCTTGTCAAAGTGCCAAGGCTAGAAGCGTGATGATGGTCTCCCTTTCGGGTGAGATGCATCATTGTGGAGCTCCAATACCTCTCGAGAACCGGCCTTGTGGTTTTCAGGTGAAAACCTATGATCCAACTTACTTGATTGGACGATGGCATCTTGTCCCACGTCGCTATCTCCTTGGGACGTCGTTTTGGAAGACCTTCATCCTTTTTTATGAATTCCCTGTGTGATGGAATTGCGGTTAGCAGGATATCGGCAGGCGATGTTGGTTGCTATCGTTTTGACTTGTGTGACAACGATGTTGATGATGCACAATATTCCGAGTTGTATCAATACTTCATAGTCAAGACTGAACTTGATAAACCAAATACATCTTTTTGAATTGTTTGGATTGCTTATCACATGTGTCGCGTGGTAAACCAAATACATCTTGTAGGTTTGAATGAACGGAGTAATACAAAAGAAGCTTGCAGTTTGAATCCAGTTCAAAATTTGCAGCTCCATGGCTACTCGCTACCTAGTGTACACTTTCGATGTGTGCGTGTGTACGTGTTAGAAAATGAAAAAAAAGAGGCAAAACTAGTCACGTGCTTTCTAGCCCGAGGGAAAAAATGGAGGACTAAAAACTGAAAGAAGACGAGGAGCTCGCGACCGCAAAACCCTAACCCCTGCAACCCTCGGCGGCGGCGGCGGCGGCGATGGCGGACGGAGGCGGTGGACGGGCGGCGGAGCTGAAGGACCAGGGGAACGAGCATTTCAAGTCGGGGAACTACCTCAAGGCCGCCGCGCTCTACACGCAGGCCATCAAGCTCGACTCCGACAACCCCACCCTCTACAGGTGCCCCCTCTCCCTCCCTTCCCATCTCCGCTCGTTCAGTGCGCGAAACCCTACTGCTCTGATCGATCTCCTCGGGCGGAGATGAGTTGAGATCGTGCGTGCGCTTGTTTGGTCAGCTGGTCAGATGGAATGAGGAAATGCGCGGCGTTAGCACATATGTTGCGCTGTTGTGGATTTAGGCTTTGGGATCGATGTGCCCTGAGGTTTGATTTGTGTGTCGCCGTGTTGCCGCCTGCCGAGCATTGCAAATTTCCATCCTATGAAGTATGAACCAAATGACATCTTTTTTCCTATAGGAATTGAGACACATACCATCTCATTTCCTATGGTTTTCCAATTCCTATAATATTCCTAGCATATGGACCAAAGGAGGACTAAATTCCAGAGCTTTAGACATAAGTAGCTGTATTGGTGTTGAAACTACATTAACAGCTAATAAGCCTTTTGTGGTGTTGTTTCGATGTCAATGGAAATTAGCTTGTATGCTTCCAATAATCCGATGTTAGCGATTATTCACATTCCTGCGATATAGCCCGTCGATACACAATGTTTGCTGTGCTCTACCATGCGGCAGATTTAGTGTACATGTGACAAGACAAACCATTTCCAAAGTGCCTGTTATACAAGCCAAGACACAGAAAATATTCTTTCTGTCATTTCCTTGGGAAGATTTACTTCTGGATGCAACTAATATTCACAAATGTAGGAAAACCTTCTATTCCCAGCACCTTTTGCTCCAAGCAAAAAGATGTGACTTCTTCAGTTGTAATGTATAAGCATTCTAAGAGTCCTTACTTCGCATAGCCGGTTATGATTAGGTTATACCTTACATGGTATTGTTGTTGTGGAAGCAGTGCTGTTGATTCTATCACAAACCCACACTTTGCCTGTTTGACATAGATTGCAATATGACTATATGAGGCCCATGATGATCGGTGAGAATGAGTGTGGAAGAAAGTTAAGCAACCCTACTAACTGATTTAGGCAGTCAGCACCTCAGCCCTCAGGCGAGAGACTGAATCCTAAACCATCCAATCACGAGGGGCGGGCAATGAAACTGCATTGAAAGAAATGAGGAGGATCTGTTATTGCATATAGATTAAGGAAGCAATCAATCATGTCATGTGATGTGTGCTAGACAAATCATTTGGTATTCTGTTTGAGAAGTTAAGTTGGGATCTATTATTGACAGAAATTCACAACATAACTCAGAAAACAAAGCTAATAAATTTGGTACCAATATTGATAATAGGCCATTTTTACAGCCTTACATTAGGTACTATTCAGAGTTGAATTTGTCAAAAGGAAATCTTGACCTGTGTTATGAATGTTGATTTGAAATTTTGTGACATGTCAGGTACCAATATTATCTGTGTCATGTATATAGTTTTCAGAATTTTTTGAAACTTTAAAGGATGTCAACTGGGACTGGGTCACCTGGTGCACCAGATATTCTCCCAGACAGTCAGTTAGAGATACTGAATCCTAAACCATCCAATCACGAGGGGCAGGCAATGGAACTACATAGAGGGAAGCGAGGAGGATCTGTTATTGCGTATATAGATTAAGGAAGCAATCAATTATGCAATGTGTTCTAAACAAATCATTTGGTAAATTCTATTTGAGAAGTTAAGTTGGAATCTATTGTTGACAATGTTTTTCTAGGCTTACAATAATCAAACGATTTGGGAGCTGACAAAATTTGGCAACGGCAACTTGAGGGTATCTATGCCGCTAAGCAGGTGTCAAATTAATTGGTCTGAAATCTCAAAAGAAAAAGAAAAAGGTCTGAGAGCCAAGCCAACTTTCAAGTAGTAAAAAGCAGGCATTAAGTTGGAGAGTTGTGATGTATTGATTTTATTGAAATAAACTTTTTGGAAACTTCTGATATCCTTTTTATTTAAATCACTGCCAGCAACCGAGCTGCTGCATTTCTGCAGCTGGTTAAGCTTAATAAGGCACTTGCTGATGCTGAGACGACAATAAAACTGAAACCAGAATGGGAGAAGGTATAGAAATGCCAAATCGCATTCTGCTTCACCTACTGTCATTTATTTTGCTATCAGGCTTTACAGCCTAACTTCTTCCACAATACAGGGTTATTTCAGGAAAGGATGTGTTTTGGAGGCCATGGAGCAGTATGAGGAGGTTAGAGTAAAAGGCGAATGACTTGCTACTTTTGATCGACAGGGGAGAGGGATTTGGTCACACCCTCTCTTTTTCCTTAATGTTCCGCAAAGTGTACACTTTGACCAAGTGTCCATGTCAACTATGTTGTAGCAAGTTGAGAAACAATCACATTAAAAAATTCGTGCTTTAAGTAGTGTTTCTATTGATTGCAAGTATGAAAAATAAAGATCTGAGGATGTAGATCAGATGACTACTCAGTTGATACCCTTTGTGGTGAAATTGATAAATAATAGGTGAACCAAGGTCTTAAGCTTTTTGAAAAATGTTGTCTATTTCACTATATTACGTTATACTTGCTATTGTTCCAAAAAATATAAGATGTATCTTGTTCTTGAATGTGATTATTTTGTGTTGAGGTTTTATATGAACCATACAATGGCATTCCTTTATTGTTGCTGTTTGCATGCATTCACTTACGAAGCCTGTTTTTTGTGGCCAAATTGTTTAACTATCCCCACGTTCTCCTTTATCTGACCGAAATCTGGAAATTATCTGCTCAAACTGTATATTTCTGTATTGAGATGAACCAGTGTTAAATTCATAACTAAGATTATGTTACGTTATGTTCTCGTGCAGGCAATATCTGCTTTTCAAATAGCTTTGCAGCACAATCCACAAAATACAGAAGTCGCGAGAAAGATCAAGAGGCTTACTCAGTTAGCAAGGGAACAGAAGCGAGCTGTTGATGTGGAGAACCTGCGTTCCAATATTGACATCAGGAAGAACTTGCAGTCATTGAAAAAGGAGCTGGTGAGTTTTTTTATTGCAGCCATTGCTACCCTCATAAAAGTGCGGAAACAGGAAACAAGAAGTTTTATCAGCAAGGCATTCCGTGAATAATCTTTTCAATTCCTTTCTATTTTAATTTCATGTTTATACACTTTTAGCATGCCAATTCAGATGCACTTGAATACACTTCTCAAAATTCAAATATGCATACAGATGCACGTTGTAGATTAGATCACGTGCATAAAATATTTCGTGCTATGAGTTTGATTGTTGCATAAATTACAGAAGATATTGACATCTGTTGTAGACAAAACATGTCCTGTCATGTATGTTTCATGATTTATGTATTTCCATTGCAGGCTACAAAGTATGGAGATGCAGAAATGGGACAAAATATATTCCCATTTGTTATCAGTGTGATTGAAACAGCGATTAAGGCTTGGCATGACACAGGAAAGGTGGATGCAAAGGTCAATTTTCTTCTTGATGATCAGAAGACTGACACTGAAAAATATGCCCCAGTGGTTAACATTGAGAAGGTATTATGCTGCTTCAGGACTCTTTGTTCTTCTGCTTCTCAAACTTATACGGCACATAAACAATTGAAAGTCCTAATGTTTTATAGTACTAAGGATCTGTTTTAATTTGAGATTTCTATTTGTTAGTTCTCCATTATAACTTATATCACGAATTTACAACTTATCAACTCTTATATTTTCTCTTTTCTGGCAGGCCTTTGAGTCACCCCATACCCATGGCAGTTGCTTTGCATATTTGCGGCAATACTCTGAGGAGTCTTTTTCAAAGGCTGCTTGCATGGTAGCACCTAAGAGCATCATCTCCTATCCACAGGTTTGATTCACCTCTTCTCCGTGTTAGTGTGATCTGTGTTTCTATAGTGTGATGTTGTGTCCCTTGAACCGGTAGTTTTTCCTTTTTACAATTCATTTTGTTTCATCCTTGATAAGTAATGATATCATGCACGGTATCTTTGGTGCTATAATGAACAAGATGAGACTAACATGACCCGTCATATGCAGGTCTGGAAAGGTCAAGGATCAAGAAAATGGAAGCTTGACCAGAGTGATGGATTCTTTGTACAATTTGAATCACCAATTTTACGGAAGATATGGTTTGTTGCTAGCACAGCAGAGAAGGGACGAGCATTGTGCAGGTAATTCTCCTTCAGTCCGAAGATCCATATATGTATTCATCTACCTGTGACTTGGCAATTTGAAAGCTGCCAAGTCAAAATCTTATCTGAATATGTCTCTATTGTAGATCCTGTTGTCATGATTGCCCATTTATTAATGTTGCTTGTGCTAAAGTTTTGCCGATCCTTTAAGATTCCTCTTAAATTCAGGATAGGGATCGACAGCATTAGTAAGTCAACACGGCAATCAAATAATCAACTAGTTGTACCACCACATTATTAATTTTTGTTAGCAAGGCTCAAGCAACCCAGGATACGAACATAATGCACTCACATGGATATTCTTCTAGAAGTCTACCGGTATTTCTACATGCTTAAAAAGGAAACTGCTAGCCTTCCATTTTTAGCTGGCATGTATCCAGTTACGCATTGCAATCTTGTGATGCTCAACAACACCTTTCTTGTGAACTTTAGATGCATCTGCTGTTGCACCGCTAAGTGCTTTACAACCTTGAGTTGATGCCTTTGGGGGTTGCTTTCGCAGCCTGTTGGATAACCATCACTCTTGCCTGCCCTTTATGGTAATCACAAGCTTTAATAGCGTACCATGCCTCTTCTTTGGCACTTTTTTTGGCAGGAGCCCTGAGCCCTTGGACATTACCATCCACGAGATCCTTCCTCGTATATTCAAAGAGAACGAAACCAGTGCTTGAACGACAGGTGCACCGTCGACGAGATCTTGATTCCACCACCCCTGACTGCGTGATCTGTATTGCTCACGGTGGTTTACGGTTGAGAAGGGGGCAGGTATTTTCTCACACAGGAAGAAGTGAATGCCATATATCTTGTAAACCGACGATCCCTGTGTCGGTGTTTTCTACACCCAGGCACTCCAATTTTGTTGCTGTGTGGTTTTTGCTGTATGCAGTGTATACAGGATATGCTGGGGTTATATGCTAGTAGTTGCCTCTCTTTCGTTCGTGAAAAGATTTATATTCCAGGATGCATTAGATGCTTGTGCTCTGATTTTATTGTGTTATGGCTGGCCTCGCACTTTTCTTAATAGATATAAGCCCCACAGTGTTGTGATGTAGAAGCATACCGAAATTCTCTCCTGATCAATCTGCATGGATGGATAGATAATGATGAAACGGCACCCTAGAAATATGGCAAGTGATGCATCGCCATCCGTTGCTTTTCAGGCGCATGATGGTTTGATATAAAGATAGTAGAGCCGTACCCGCATGGAGAGCTAATTAAACTTAACTAAACCCGTGAGCAATTTGGTGATATATATGTATTGGATCTTTTGTCTAAATCATGAGATACTAGAGTGCGTGTGTAAATTGACTAACTAAAATGTGTACAGCTGCAATGATTAGCATTTCGCGTCCAAACTATATACCAGCACTATATATTTGTACGCCATTATAATCTGGCCCCATCTAAGAATAAGATGTACGTGGATCACTCCAGTCGGCACGCAAAATATTTTGTACTAATTATGATATAAAATAGTAGTATGTCAAGTCGGTATCTGGTTAATCATTGGGAAGGTAGCAAAGCATTAGCATGAGCCTTTCTCCATACATGTAGAAAGGCAAGCCTGAGCCTGAGATGTGGCACTACTGTCTGTGTCGATTAGCTGCTGCTGCAAGCGATGGGCGGCTGCTTTCGGTGGCCATGCTCCGTTTCCGGCGAGGCGAGAGCGACGCCGCCAGCGAGCGAGGAGCATGTGACCAAGCCAGGCTCGCTGGATGGATGGTAAGTGTAAGTGTGACGGGTATTAATGGGCGGCGTGGCGTGGCGAGGCGCGTATGTACGGCGTCACACGCGACCGATGCAGCTCTGCAGGCTGCTGCAGGCACCTACACCGTCGCCCAGGCCTAGGGGGAGGGGAGGGGGTGGGCGCTTTCGCTGTAGTAATGGATGAGATCGCTCTGTTCCGTTCAGTTCACCCAAGATCCACTCAAGATCCAATACAACCGGATCGGTGCCAGGGTCAGGACAAATTACACCCAAATAGTACACGATCCATAGTTTTCTTTTGTGTGTCTGTGATAGAGAGTGAGAGTTCAGTGACATGCCATGTGTGCACACAATACACGTATCCGTGTGTGCGCTGGCGCTAACTGATATATCGATGCATCGTTTTTCTTTTTACGGAAAAAATAGTATCAAGTAGGAGTACATCATGGATTCATGGACGATGTGCGCGTAGAAAGGACTGTGCGCACGTTACGTACCATGCGTGGACGAGAAAGAGAACAGGAATGTGGGCAAAAGCATGAGAGGACTCGAAGCATCGTAAAAGAAGACGCATGAGGCATCTGCATGCGCCGACGCGACACTGGCCACGCCGGCCAAACTCGCCGATGGGTTTATGGATGCCGCGACGGGCGACGTGACCGCGGCTGCGCGCCGGCCGGGACGGTGGATAAAACGAGAGAGAAAAAGGTACACCGTACACATGCACGCATATGCCGCGAAAGTACGCACAACACAACCCGAACACTGATCCAAAGTAAAAAGGCACGCAGGCACAACACAACGCAAACACATCCGTCCGTGAATGCCCATCCGTCGATCCATCAGAAACTCAGGATCGTTCGCATGATCATCATGACCGTCAGCTTTAAATTTCGCTCCTCCTTTTGACGCAGTCCCGCTCCTTTCACGTTCTTCTTTGCTACTCTGCTT